CATCTTCGTCTTAAAGGTATTCTAGTTCTTAACTAGAGTAATATTTTTAGCGTCTTTAATAGAGTTGTCTATATAATAGTAAATAATTAAGATAGACTACTTCTTAGTATCTCTTTTAAGATAAGTAGTAGCTAAGATAATCTTGTTATTATTCTTAACTCTATCTTCTTTAAGATAGAAGTATTAGTCTAGCTAGAGCAGCTATACTTTAAGTTTATTATAATTACTATAGTAGATATTAGGCTTATTACCTTAAATAGAGGCTCTAGAGACGTAGAAATTAGCAGAGGTATCTATTATAGTATTACTTATCTTAAGAGTATTTAAAGTGTAAAGGTTATTCTAAGATAACCTAAGAGTTAGTTCTTAGAGTATAAGTAAGTGCGCTAGATAGAGTAGGTATACTAGTATAATTAGTAGATTAATATAATAGTATAAGAGTATAATAGCACGTTTAGTAGAATAATATAATATTATAAAAAGTTAAAAAAGTATAATTCTTAGATTAAATACTAAAGTCTTATATAAAGTTAAATATACTAAACTATAAGAGTTTAGTGCCTAAGCTATATACTTAATAAGTATTACGCTTATAGATAAGCGTATAAGTAATTATAAATAAGCAGTAATATATCTTGCTAGTTATTAGTCTAACTACTAATACTTATAGATAAGCGCTTATATAGAACTAGCGCTATTCTACTTATAGATAAGTAGTTACGTAACTATAGCGCAGTTTTTATGCTACACTTCTATAACTATACTATACAATTCTTTAAAGTAATTACGCTAACTCTAGAGTATCTCTTAGATTAGATTATAATATACTATAAGAAGATATCTAGTTTAGATAAAAGCTCTAATTCTTATCTTAGTAGAGAAGACTAGCTTAAACTTAAGTCTATTATATATTATATAGTAAAAGATTAGAGTAGTAAGAATGTTAAAAAGCTTTACTAAAGTCTATACTATATTTTAGCTTAAAATAGTATTCTCTATAAAGAGATTAGAGGTCTTAAGAATACTCTTTTAGTAAAAAAGAGATAATAAAAGAAGAGCTTTACTCTCTATCTTAATAACTCTTAGAAGTACTATAGTAGAGCTATTTTCTAGTTATCTAAGAAGATCTAGTAAGCTTATAAGAATAAGGCTTTATAATAGTAATAACTATAATAACTATAACTATAGAAAAATAAAAAGAATAAGCTTAGAGAGAAAGCTTAACTCTATAAGCTTTAGCTAGTTAAAGAGAAGCGTATTAAAAGAGAGAGGCTTAAAGAGATATAGAAGAAGAAGTAAACTATAAAAGAAGCTAAAGAGAAGCGCTAGAAATCTCTTCGTAATATATAAAAAGCTATATAACTATTTTAAAAGAGTAAGTATAAGGCCTTATAAGCTTCTAAGCCTTCTAAAAAGTATTAGAAACATACTATTATTAGTATACTTTATATAGAAGCTAGTAGTGCTGCTATAGTAGCTCTAATATAAAAGACTAAGACGTAATTAATTTAGACGTCTAAAAAATATTCTAAATAGCATAAATTATTTATAAGTATATAATTATTATAATACTAAGTTTTTATAATATTACTACTATTTACTATAGCTCTATAGCTTTGTTTTTTATATAGATAAAGTAGTTGTTGCCTAGGCATTACGCGATCGGGGCATTGCCCGCGCTAAGACGGTAGTCAATATCCACTCTATTTCCGGAATGCGCATCTCCTTCCCCCTGCATCGCAACCTCTAACATCTGTTGTGCTCCCATCTACCATCGACTTTACCTGGGTAAGGCCTGCTCTATGATGTGGGTAAAGAGAATAAGGCGTCCAGTTCGGCGTTCAGTCGCATCCATGCGCCTACGACTAATGACCTAGATGATCTCGCAGCTTGTTACCGGTTTCCGATACGGTGTGGGGGCCAGCCTTGTGATGCGGCAGGGCTGTTAGGTGTTACTCTGTGGCTTCGGGCAGGACAGCGCGACACCGCTGATAGGGCCCGCTCCGCCTGACAAGGCTTGCTTGTGTTAGTAGGCTGGTTATGAGAGGTCGCCGTCCCTCTGGTGGCTGCAGGCGGGCCACCGGTCAGCCATGTCGGAAGATTGGTGGCCGCCCCGCAACCTTCAAGTCGCCGACGTCTCAACTACTATGCGCTCGACTTTGAGTTCATAGTTCCCGTGTTCCCAAGCCCTTTCTCCTGAAACGTTCGTTCTTACGCTCCGTTCGACTTCCCATCAACATCAAGCATGGTGGTATCCAGCATAGCCATTGTTACCGACCTTGCGCAATGGAGCAGTTCAGGTCCATCCGGCGATCCTCCTCCTCTGACAACCAGATATGATCCTAGCCCGGGATGCGCGACCCAATGGGTACACAATCCTGTCAATGCCACCAACATCCGAAGCGGAGACAATAACCTTGTCTGGCAATCCACAAACGGAAACCCGGGTGGTCGGACGGGTATCGCAAGCCTTCTATCAGCGAACTACTGGAAGTCTTGCCGCCCTTTCCTCCAGCCGATAGATCAGCCGTATTACAGCCCGGGGATATGTACAAGACAACAAACGATAGCTGGCATCGAGGAGCAGCGCTTTGGCAGCTCGCGAAGGTGGAGAGGATGGTGTTGCGACAGGTTGTTTGCCCACGGCTGAATCCGAATCTCTAAACCCGGGCTTACGTATCCACCAGGGGAATGTCCATGACAGTTTTTGGACAGGACTGCGAAGGCGAATTTTCGACTCCTAGGACTGCGCTCGCAAATTTCACAACGACAATTATAGACCAGTGGGATAGGACTCAAATCGTCTCTGGCATTGACACAGCAACGAGGTTTTGTACAAGGTCAGGCGGTTCCCAGACTTGCGCAGATCAGACGACGCTGCAGAGGCCGACTGTGTTATCTTCTGGTATGGCTTTTGCTACTCCCTTCGGGGTGTATTGGGAGGAAAGAGATTTGTCGAACTTTCCTACCGAGTATGCTTCGTCACTCGCGTCCCTAGTTGACACTACATTTGGAGGCAACAATACGACTGCAGATCCATCTCCGGACTCAGAAGATGATGGCCTAAGTCCTGGCGCTATAGCGGGTATAGCTGTCGGGATAGGCCTATTTGTTATCATTGGTGTCGTCATCCTCTTGTTCTTGAGGCGAAGGAAAAAGCAGCAGAGAAAACGCCTTCAGCGACCGAATGAGGCGGAGATGGATGGGAACTCGCAAGGGTTCATGCACCCTGTGGATACTAAATGGAGGGCTGAGGCGGATGGAAGATCGGTGCCCGTCGAAGCTGGGACGGGAGGTGTGGTGCCGCGGTCGCCGGTGGAGTTGGATGGCACGCAGCGGGAGAGAGACCGCTGAGGATATGGAAAAGAGAGAGACACTATAACGAATTTGTCGCGCTAACGAAGATCGCAATCGAGCGATGGCCGTCGTTTTCTTGGCTCACTGTTGCTTGTGTGCCTGTCTTGCATGCGACAAGGCTGCAGGTACTCTGTCATAGTATTGGGTGTGTGTAGTACACAATGCCGCTGTAGCCGCTGCATGATATGCACATATCGGCGCCGAAGGACTACGCCGCATTATGCGGCGTAGCAATTCTACCAATCAACCTCACAATTCGATGCCCGTCACCTCTCCACATCTGGATCAAAGTTCTGTGCCGCTGGTAGAGCTCTTTAAAGATCCGTTCTTCCCCGAAACCAATGTCGACTTATTCTACCTCCGAGATCCCGACCACATGGCGACTGTTTCAACCATACCAAAGTCTGATTGGAGATACCAAACTGCTCCAACGAATTTGCCCCCACTATTGACCATCTTTACGCCCCCAGGAGAATGTTCAACGCGCTGGATCTACGACGACACCAGTTCATCTGCAATATACAGCGGAAGAGCTGTCTTTCAATACTATACCGATGCTGTTGCCGACTCCTATTACTATGAATGCAATCCGTATCGGCAGGAGCAGACGACGCCGCTGTACAGCCCCGGAGTTTGTGGGGATAGTCAGCAGCCCGTTGAGATAGATGAGATTCGCTTGGACTATGTCTATTGGTTAGCATACTGTTGTCCCAGGTACGCTACCCATGCTCTCAAAGGGTCTTTAACTCTCACCCCGCGGACACGCGCTTACACGAATGCAAATTAGCGATATGTCTTATCGTTTTGTGGAGCGCGAAGGCTGGTTCTGCGAGAAAACGTTTTCGGAGACGACAACTGTACTTAGCAAATTCACCATTACCACAACCTTCGACGTTGGGGGAACATCCGTCCGTACGCTGATCGACACCACTGAGCAGGCGTGCGACCCTCGCCCATGCTCTAGTGTTACTACAAACAGTAAGATGGTGTTGACAACAGGTACGGCTCGAGCGAAACCAACCGTCGTCTTCTGGCAGTCTAGCGATCTCGCCCTGTTCCCGAGGGACTATGCATCTTCTATTGCAGCGATTATTGGTGTTTCATTCGACGGCTCCGCAGCGTCCTCTTCAATACCATCCATCACCTCGCAAGATGCAGACTCCGGACCATCGACTTCGTCTCCGCCCATCACATCACAAAATACAAACTCCGGCTTAAGTCCAGGTGCCAAAGCTGGTATTGGAGTTGGGGTAGGTATCTCCATTGTACTAGGCGTCGTGTTCTTCTTATTCCTATGGCGAAGGCGGAAACAGCAACGACAACAAAAGCAAAATGCACAGCGACCAGAGCAGGAGCCCTCGGGCGAGATTGGGGTATCGGAGATGGATGGTGATGCTAACGGCTCGAAACGCTTTTTGAGTGGCCATTGGAGGGCTGAGACGGAAGCACCGTCGGCTCCAGTTGAGGCTGGATCGACGAGTGTGCATATCATACCGGGACCGCCGGTGGAACTAGACGCTACACATACGAGAGGAGGAGAATAATGGCTACGCAAAATCATGTGGAGTATCATATAGAAGGGAAATGTTTGTATGAGAAAGAGATGGAATCAAGACAGAACGGAGTCATCGGAAAGCCTCCATCTATGACCCATCACTAGAGTATCCTTCGTCGAGTTCGTTCTCATCTTCGCTTGTGTCGTAAGTCTCTTCTTCCACCGTGTTGAAGCCATCGTCGTCGCCGCTTGCATCATCGCTTGCCACGTAACTTTCATCGTCGGAGCCACTTGCATAGCGCTGCCAATCGCTTTCACTTTCCTCAGAAACATCTCGTTCTAACTCTTCGATACGAATGCTCAATCGATCCAATTGTTGAGACAGCGAACTGGGAGAGCAGGTCCGTCTTGGTACCGTGTTCTCTCTCGCTAAATGCGGAATGATCTTTGAGCGAGGAGGCTTTCGTGACGTAGAGGGTATGTCAGGTATTCTCTCATTGGGTGGCTCGAGAGATTTCGCTCTTCTTCGTTGCTCGACCTGATGGCCGTCTGGAGTGAGAGACGTCGAGGGCTTTGGATGCAAGCGGACTTGAGTGATCCATCTGCATATCTCAGGTTTCACCCGGTCGTGCACCCATTTGCGCATGTTCTCGATCACAGCACGTAGTGCAAAGACACCCCAAGTAAGCTCCAATGAAGTTGCCCAAATGCAGCGCATCTCAATGTTGTGGCTGGTCTGACGCATGTTAGCTACTTGTGACGCTTGTATGGTAAGCTTCATACTCACTGGGTGTCTGAAGGTAAGCCAAAACCGAACGCTTGGACCAACACATGTGAAAGAGAAGATGACCAGAGCATCCTTACTTGGCTCGTTCACTCTCTCAGCCAGTCTTTCCCTCATCATGAGTGCTTCAGCAGACGCGTTTGCAGCTTGGCAATAACAAAATTTTGACTTGTCACGCTTCCATTTACTGGTTTTGACTTCGACAACAGCCCAAGGAAAGCATGTTAGGTCTGCAGCGCCAATCGGTTGTGGTTTTTTAGGATCCCACTTGGCCAACGCAGATGTCGGTGACGAGATTAGGCTACATCCGGATGCCTTCCGGAGTTCGCTAAGGACAGGAAGCGTGAAGTTTTCGACTTTAGGGTCAAAACGGTGGAATTTTGACATCTTGTGTGAGGGATCGAAAATAGGGAATGAGTAGGTCACGTCCGGCTTCGGTCCAGTGCGCACTCGTATTACGCAATCATTCCTCGGGAAGCGTTCGTTCCAATGAACATCGGCATGCCTATCAAAGTTAGCCTGATGTGTGAGGCGCCACCGTATTGCTTACAGTTCCCATCGATCAAACAAAAAGCTAGAAGAAGTCAATGAAGAGACTTTGAAAGCATTACAAATGTGCATACCTGTGCTCGTCTGGAGTGCCATGTACCTCCATGTATGTTTTGAAGAAGCTCAATCCTAGGAACTCCGCCCATGCGGATTCCTTCTCGTTCCTCCCACGAAGATATATCGCCCGTTCCTTGACTTTCCGACAATTTTCCAGTACTTTTGTCGTCTCTGCTGCTAGGCTGTCTTCTTCGTCAAAGCTCTCCTCGCGAAGATATTGATTCCTGTTGGGCTTCAATCTCCAGAGTGATTGCGATGCGATAGCCCCATCTTGACCTGAACGTTGGAACGTCTCGAGCTCGGCGACAAACTTCTTTCTTTTTTTCCTTGGGACTTTTGTGCGCAAAAATCTCATCTCCCAATGTATGGGACGGAGCCACTTAGGCAAAGAGTTCCTCTTGTGGACATGCTCATAGAAGTAAATGCCCTCATCTTCTAATATTTCCCGGGTCAAGTTGGGCTTTTTAGTGCCTTTGGAGGGAGACTGCATGTCTTGATGGCGTTTCGGGGTTAACTGTGTGCGCTGTACGGGAGTAGGTGGTAATGGGTAAAGCTTCACACCACGTTTGCGACGGACGACTGTGGTAAAGCAGAAAGTACGCTGGCTGAGTGTAGTTCTTTACGACTATGTTCTAACAGATCTTTTTATTTTGTATACTGGAAAGCATCAGGAGGCTGGGGCGCAGTACTTCGAGTATGCAAGGCTGAAACAGCTTTGGCGAAGCACCTGCCAGTTCAGCCTCCGCGCTCTCGCCCCCACGCTGCAGGAGTAACAGCACCGCTGTCATCTTGGCCTCGTCTTCATTTCACCGATAGATAGCCCGTCTATCGCGTGCTGTTCAAGCTCTAACCGAGATGTTTGAAACATGGAGTAGTGTCAGATGAAGTAGAAGGATGAAAGATGAGGTTCCGCGGCGGGAGACGGCTCTCCTCTCACGCGGCCCGTGCGCAGGATCATAACGCTAACGTGTTATTGGGAGCTGCTCCGTCGATGCAACACCATTCAGCAACGTTTCCGGAAAGCAGCAACGAGAATAGTGTACGAAGGATGCTTTGATACAGGTGATGGCCTGGTTTGAGACGATCGACGACGGATGCTACTTGGCGATGTTTCCGCATCCCACACCCACGTGGCTGTTATCGGATGATGTACTCATTAGAACAGCACACAATTTAGCACAAGAGGTGGCCAGGGTACGGAGTGTCAGTTCTCGATATGCCCTGATAGCGTTACAACGACATCACTCAGAAGGGGAGCTATCGACATCCCAGAAGGAGCTACGTTTTGAACCGGATGTCTGCCTACGGCCTATTTACAGAGTGTAACGGAAAAGAAGGCCAGGTCCGTTGGCGACACCCTCCAAACCGACCGCCTGGTCAGACTTGCGGTTCAGCTTCTGCAGCCAGAAGCGCAGTATGAGTGACGCAGTTGCGCAGCAAAGGAGTGCTACTGTTAAGACAATGCAGCCCATGCGGTAAAGGCTAAATCACTGAGTTAGTGATTGTTCATTTGGGGTATAGAGAAAACTTACGGTGCGCTCCACGCGGGGTATAGGTAAGCAGTGGCGATGTTCGTCGCATTCGACACAGCCGTCGCCAATGCCAGTGTAACAGCCCTCTTTGCCTTTGGCCGTGCAACTGTTGCAGAGACCCAAGGCAAGATGAGCTGGAACGCAGAGAAAGATCCCATAGCTTGTAGGAACATGGCGAAGTAGCGAGGTCCAGTTTGGTATGTTGACATAGAGATGATCTGGCCAACTGCGGAGATGACGCATGCTGCGACAATGTGGAAGCAATGCTCACCGGATCGTCCAGAGTGCCACGAATTTGCGACCGAGAAGATGAAGGCCAGGAAGTAAGGCGGGGCTGTGAGCAAGAGCGTTTCAACGCGGGGGAAGCCGAGTGTCTGGACGATGGATGGGAAGAAGTAGGTGAAGCTCATGGATACGACGGCGCACGTCTGGATGAAGACGAGTAATGGCTAAAGGTGGCATTCGACGTTAGCAACGCGTACTGATTCACAGATTTCGATTCTCGACACGCAATGATGAGATGAGAGATATACATACCACTTTCGGATCGGAGAAAGCCTGCTTTAGTCCAACGAAGACCGATTCATTCACTTCATCTGCCACACCATCATTCTCGCGGTCAAGTCGCCATTGCGCCATAGCGGTCTCTTCAACCGATAGGAACGAGGTGTTCGATGGGTAGTTGGGAAGAAGTGCGTATCCAGCAAAGGCCATAACGATCGTCAGAGCCCCCTCTAGAATGAAGATCCAGCGCCAACTCGGGTAGCCACCAAGACCTTCCATGCCGTCGACAATGCCAGCGGCAATCAATCCGCCAAAAGCCGAGGACAGCGTGTATCCAGAGTAGAAAGTGGCGATACGACTTGGTAGCTCTTTCCGCGTGTACCAGCATGAGAGAAAGAAGATACATCCAGGGAAGTACGGCGCTTCCGTTACACCGACCAGGAATCTCAAGGCGACTAGACCGGCGTGGTTTTGAACGAATCCTGTAGCGCCGGAAACAATACCCCAGATAATGACAACTGTCGGCAGGTATAGCCTGGGCTTGAAGATGGAGAGCAGCATGTTCGACGGAATCATCATGGAGATGTAACCAGCCCACAGCACCATAACGGCAGTCTGATACTCCACATCGTCGATACCCAGTGTGGCTTCTAGACCTCCGAGACGTGCATTGGCGATGGCGTTTCGATCGAGGACGTTGAGTAAAAAGAGGACGATCAAGATAGGTAAAGCTCGGAAGTCGATCTTCCGCACAAGTTTCTTCTCGAGGGCGGTGAGTTGCTCAGGTGTATGATTTCGCAGGATCTCGGGGACGGAGTTGCGAGATTCATTTGTAGCTTCGATGTATTCGCACGCTACATCCTTTTCCAGAGAGTGCTTTTCAACGTCCATGGTGATGGATTAGACAAGGTTTCGGGGTCGTGACGGTTGAGGGTGAAGCCAGACTGACGCTACCCCACGAACCTGGGGTAAACTGCATCTTATACTCTTACCCCGGATCCATATAGTCACCACGTCGTCGTCTTACCTACTGGTGCTGGCTAGCTTAGTGTGGGATGAGATGCGGGGGTTCCCGCATCTAGCTATGTCTCCCGGCCGGGTAAGGTCGTCCATGCAAGTCGCACATGCATAGCAGGTGTCATGGCCAGCCAAGTCTGGTGATCACGGCATTTTGGCCGAGACTTACTGAAATGACGCTTGCATGCTAAAGTATCGGTCTTTGAGCGACTTGGCAATGATCTAGATGAGAGACGAGGGGGAGACCGGGGATGCGCCGATCACGGTGCTTTATGTATAGCCGAACAGGGTCGTGATGGAACGTGCCGACGGGCAGCATGTGCATTCAGTCACCGACAGTGCGTAAGGCTGTACTGTATGCGATAGGGGTGTCATCATAGAACAAGATAGTTTGTGTAAGATAATAGTGGCCTGGCCAGCGACATGCGAAAGGAAGACGCCTGGCATGTATCTTTGCAGACGTAATAATCTCTGCGCGATGACTTGGACGTCATAAGAGAGCGCTGTCAAACATGGTAGCATAGTGGCTGTGTGAATCTTTCAAACGGATCGTGGTCTAGTATATTATGCTGCAACTTCTACAGTATTGACTTGCACACTCTCAATCTTCTGGCTCGCCTGCCCGGTTCCCTTCACACTCTGTTTCGGTGCGAAAGCCTCCACATAATCCCGAACAATTTGATCAAATCCAGTATCTCTCACGAAGCCAAGGTCCAAAGCCTTAGTGTTGTCAAACTCAGCAGGCCATGAGTATAGAATCTTCTTGCACGTGGGTTCGTCCTTCATCTCAAGCAATTCAAGCTTATCGCTACCTCCTACCCTTGCAAGAGAGTCCATCATGTCCTGCACCGAGACGCCAATACCAGGGAAATTGAGGCAGCGATCAAACTTGGCTAGGCGGTTGATGTCAAAATCCGTAGCTGCGTAGACGAGATTTTGAACCAGAATGCGCGGAGAGCAGAGCCAATGTCGCCATTGCTTATCCTCTAGCGGGATAACGCATTTGATGCCATTCATCGGCTCGCGGATCATACCGCTGATGAATGAACTCGCCGCAGCGGTAGGCTTTCCAGGCCGTACCGAGACGGTAGGGAAGCGAAGCGAGATGCCATCAATGAAGCCGCGTCGTGTGTACTCGGTGATGAGGTACTCGCACATCATCTTCTCCGCGCCGTAGCTTGTCTCTGGTGTCGGCATCTGAGATTCCGTGACGGGTAATGTGACGGAGTTGTTGTACACTGCCTGACTTGAGGCATATATTACTCTCGCTCCTGGGCACGTTTTCCGGATAGACTCCAGTAGTGCGCGGGTAGCATCGAAGTTCGCTTTCATGCCAAGCTCGAAATCGGCTTCTGCGCCTGAGGACATGATGCCGTGGAAGACATAGACGGCTTCTATGTCCTTCGTGACGACAGAATCTGCTTCCGTACATAAGTCCGCCTTGATGGCTTGTGCTCGTATTGAGAATCGCGCATCTGATGGGATGGGTGGTTCGATGATGTCGGTGAGAATGAGAGAATGTGCTGCCTTCTCGTCGTCGAGCAGCTTCTTTGCTACGAGTTGACCGATGAAGCCGGCGGCACCTGTGATAAGAATGCGCATTGTGTTTTTGATGAACTGGGGTAGTGTGAGATGGCATGCGGCTCTGCCAAACAAACTTTACTCATATACGAATCGCGCTCTGCAACCATCGGAGCGGTGCTTCGGCCGACTGTATGCCCTTGTGATGCAGGCATGTTGCTCGCGAAACCTTCTCCCCTCGGTTCATTGTATCCGTAATGATTAGATGCTTGATAGTGTTGGTGGTGCCGGCCGCGGTTGCGATTGTCAGAGGCTCGTCGCTGCCTGCGAGCCATCGGCGTTTCGCCGGGCCCACTTCTCCGCATCCACGTCGGTAGATCGACTAGCGAGGTACCTGCCGCGCCAATTGACAGCCTCGCGAACATTACAAACGTTCTCGATTTACTCGCGTTCTTAGCACGATCAATTCATTAGCCCTTCTTGTGACAGTGTGACAAAATGGCAGATAATACCGTTCCCGTGGAAGAGATCAAGAAGCATGCCACTGAACAAGACTGTTGGATAGTAGTAGATGATGTAGTATGGGACATAACAGAGTTCATACCAAGTCATCCTGGGGGCAATGAGAGTGGGTGTTTTCTTGCATGTTCTATCAACCTTACGAAGCATTGAAAAACATGCAGACAAAATTAGAACCTCTATTTCGATGCACCCATTTCAGAGTACCATCATGTTACGAAAGACGCAACTGACAGCTCCCAGTAATAACCAAACACGCCGGGCTCGACGCCTCCCTAGCCTACAGCTCTGTCCACTCACCCACTTTGATATCCAAGACTCTCGCTCCAGGCAAACGCATCGGCAAAGTCTCGTCCTCAACACCCTCCTACGACCTCCTGAAACCACCCCCAACAGAATCCGCTCAACCCGCCCTATCAATCGCCTCAAAGCCGCCGCTCAGTAGTTTGATCAACAGCTACGACTTCGAAGCCGTCGCCGAGAAAGTTCTCGGAAAGAAAGCATGGGCCTTTTACTCCAGCGGCGCCACGAATCTGGTGACGCGGGATGCGAACAAGAGCATGTTTGATCGGATATGGTTTCGACCGCGGTTATTGAGAAACATCTGGCATGTGGATACGAGGACGAAGATGTTGGGACAGAGTGTGGAGTTGCCGTTTTTTGTTAGTCCGGCTGCGATGGCGAGGTTGGCGCATCCGGAGGGGGAGAGGGCGTTGGCGAGGGGGTGTGAGGGCAGGGGGGTTGCACAGTGTGTATGTTGATATCTCCATTTGCTGTGCGAGCTGAAAGACGGGAAGGTGGGAAAGATGATGTGCTAATGCGAACTGCCAGATCTCAACAAATGCGTCGTTTACCATGCAAGAAATCACAGGAAGTGTGAAAAAGGATTCCATACCCTTCTTCTTCCAACTCTACGTCAACAAAGACCGAAAAGCATCTGAAGCTCTTCTCAGGGACGCGGAGAAGAATGGGATCAAGGGCGTGTGGTTTACCATTGACGGGCCTGTGCAGGGGAAACGAGGTATGTCCCATCCCACCCTACTGAAACCCTCATCCTTGCATCCACCTCATACAAGAAGAAAAATGAACAGGCCTGCAGCCTACATTAACGCTTAGTCGCCTATCTTGTAGGGTTTTAAGTTAATGTAGGCTGCAGGCCTGTTTAGTTTTTTTCTTGTATGGCGTGCATCTCTACGTCTTTGCAAGACCCATACTAACCCCCTATTGTAGAAGGCGACGAGCGCGTAAAAGTCGAATCCGCAACCTTCGCCAAAGCCGCCATCAGCGGCGCGGCCGCCACAAACGACAAGAAAGGCGGTGGCCTCGGTCGCACCATGGGCGGCTACATAGACGACACGTTCAACTGGGATGACATCGCTTGGTTGCGCAAAGCGACTAAACTACCCATCGTAGCGAAGGGAGTACAGACAGTTGAAGACGCGGTGCTAGCTGTGAAACACGGATTGGATGGTATAGTGATAACGAACCACGGAGGGAGGAATTTGGATACGTATGTCCACTTAACCTTCCAAGACGCGGACGACGAACGATTAGAGCGTTTGCTAATACAGGACAACAGTTCCCCACCATCCCTCCTTACACTTCTCGAAATCCGACGCCACGCCCCCGAAGTCTTTTCCAGCCTAGAAGTGTACCTAGATTGCGGTATCCGTCGCGGAACTGACATAGTCAAAGCACTGTGTCTAGGCGCTAAAGCCGTTGGAATGGGTCGGCCCTTTTTGTATTCACTGACGTATGGACAAGAAGGTGTGGAGCACTTTATCGACATTATGAAAGATGAGTTGGAGACGACGATGAGGTTGTTGGGTATAACATCGCTGGAGCAGTGCCATCCGAGGTATCTCAATCTAGGCGGTGTGGAACATTTGATCCCGAAAGATCTGGAAGGCGGGTTACCGGAGATTCCAGGGAAGGGGGTGAAGGCGAGGTTGTAGAGTTTGTTTGTGTTGACGAACGGAATATTGGATTTATCTGTAACTATTCAAAGTCGCCCGACTCCAGTGCCCTTTTGTCAGCTCTCTCCTCTTGCATCTTCCTCTCCTTCCTAAACTTCTGATCCAACCCCGCAGCCTTCAGCACCGCAAACCGTACGTGGTCAACACCCAATCTCTTCCCTTCTACCAGCGTCTCCGCACTCACTCCCAGAATCTCTCCTAGCGCACCGCCTCCGACCGGCGGCTGGATGTCGTACTTCAACTTCTCCATTGCTTTTCTGAGTTCCTCGGGGCTACCTTTCGGCGACAGTCGACGCAGCACTTTTCCATCGTGGCGTTTGATCTCCTTGGCTGCGGGGATGTATAGTTTATCTAGCTTGGAGAGGATGACTTGGTGACTTACACCCGCTAGGCGCAGTGAAGCGAGCAGAGAACGGTCTTTATCTTTAATACCGTGTTCAGCGTCGATCAAGAGGAAGACGCGGCGGAGTTGCTTGCGGTTGGTAATGTACTTCATGATCTCCGTTCCCCATGACGCGAGTGAACCTTCGCCATAACCGGGCATGTCAACAATGGTTAGACCACCGAGGCCGACGATCTTTTCGCGATCTTGGCCTTGCTTCTTGATGGTTACGCCGTTGCCGGCGCCGAGACCGTAGAGGTTCATTGTTTTGGTGAAGCCGGGCGTGGAGGACGTACGCGCTAAAAGTGCTTTGATATCGGCGTTTACGACGGCGTTGAGCAACGAGCTCTTGCCAACGTTGGAACGACCGACAAAAGCTACTTCCGGCACGTCAGACTCGGGGAAAAGACGGAATTGCGCTACACTTCGTAGTAACTTTGCGTTGCGGCCGTGGGTAGTGAAGAAGTGGTTTGCAG